ATTACTTTATCCAGCAAAGCTATCATTCAGAACTGAAGGTCTGATAAAGAGCTTCACAGATAAGGAAAAGCTAAAGGAGTTCATCACCACCAAACCAGTATTATATGAAATGCTGAAAGGTATCCTTTAAGAAGAGGACGAAGAAGAAGAAAAAGGTAAAGATACAAATTATGAACAACAAATACACATCTATCAACAAGTAAACCTAAAAATCAAGTGAATAAATAATCTGATGAACAGAATAAACTGGTGATTATAATAGAATCAGGGGCATAGAAAGGGAGTGGACTGACTATTCTTGGGGGCGGGGGGAAGAGGAGGAGTGGGGGGTGCGGACAAAAATCGTACACCTATGGATGAGGACAGTGGGGGGAGCGGCAAGGGCAGAGGGTGGGGTGGGAACCGGGTGGAGGGGAGCTATGAAGGGGGGAAAAGAGGAACAACTGTAATAATGTGAACAATAAAGATTTAATTTTTTAAAAAATGGCAACAGAATAGGAGGATGCTACACAGACATTCTCCCAGGAACAAGCTGGAATTACAACTGAAATATGGAAAGGCTTCCTGAATAATTAATGGAAAACTCGCAGGAGAGAACCCTGATACCCAAGGACCAAAAGTGGAGATGCATAGAGACTGGTAGAAGGGGCAGAGACGAGAAAGGGCTGGCTGGGCACCCACAGTCAGCAACTGAAGTCCCAGAGAGATATCTCAGTTGTGGGGAGTTGCCACTGAGAACTCTGGGATCTAACCCCCAAGCTAGGCTCCCCAGCAGAGAACACCAGAACTGAGAAGGGTACCCAAGTGACATCTCTCTGTGAAAAGCAGTGGGGTTCTGTCTGCCAGGGAGTGGCAGCTGAAATTTCAGGAACACTTTTAAAGGGCCAATGCACAAAAATTCCCTGTGGAGCCACCCATCTTGTGCTCTGGCAGAGGCAGAGTGAAGTGGACTGGAGCTGTGAGAGCAGAACCCAGGACTGGGGACTGGGGGGATAGAGCTCAGAAGGCAGACACCCCAAGTTTCCTGAGCTGAGTCATTCCTTCATGCAGCAAAGGACATCTTTCCCACAGAGACATCTGCCTTGCCTGGGGGGAGGACAGTTGACCCACCCTATTTGAAAACACCTTGCCTTGAGGCCACTTAAAGAGATTAAAAATAATTTGTCTCCAGGCAGGCAGAAACAATTGCCCCACCCTGTTGAAAAAAAACTCTTGCCACACCTGAGGATGATTGCCTGGGGCAATTCAAGTCGGAATCCTATTAGTCTGTAGACAGAGGCTGTCTCTGGAAGCTTTGAGTCTTTGCCTAATCCAATTAGTCAGAAACAGCCTTTAATACTGTCCTGCACTAGAGATTGAGAGGTATAGAGGATCTACCTAAAACATAATCACAAATCCAAACAGACAACCAGAATGAAGAAACAAAGAAACAATCCCCAAATGAAAGAACTAGTGAATTCTCTAGAACAGTGGCTCTCAACCTTCTGGCCCTTTAAATACAGTTCCTCATGTTGTGACCCAACCATAAAATTATTTTCGTTGCTACTTCATAACTGTAATGTTGCTGCTGTTATGAATCATAATGTAAATATCTGATATGCAGGATGGTCTTAGGCAAACCCTGTGGTTAAAAATGCTCAACAGTATGAAAAAGATGTAACTATGAAAAAAGAACAGTCTGAGATAAAAAATGACATAACACAAGTAAACACATTGGAAGGAATATACAGCAGATTAGGGGAAGCTGAGGATCGAATCAGTGAATTAGAAGACATAGTTGAAAATATCACTCAATTAGAGAACCAAAAGAAAAAAAAATTAATAAACGGGCGGACAGCTTAAGGAAGCTGTGGGACAATGTGAAACATAACAATATTAAAATAGTAGGTGTGCCAGAAAAGGGAGAAAGGAATAGAGAAGGTGTTTGATGAAATAATGGTAGAAAACTTCCCTAACCTGGTAAAGGAAAAAGTCACACAAGTTCAGGAGGCACAGAGAACCCCAAACAAGAGGAACCCAAACAGACCCATGCACAGACACATCATAGTTAAAATGCCAAAAATTAAAGACAGAGAATCTTAAAGGCAGCAAGAGAAAAGCAAACTGTTACCTACAAAGGAAATCAGGTGTTAGCTGATTTCC